TGCTATGACAAATGACATACATATTATTCACAATTTAATATAGAGTTAATTTCAGCAATGGTTAATTGGTCTCTGATTTTTAATTTAGACAATTTAGACACTTATAATTACAAAATGTTACTTTTTAGGATCAATTTTGAGACATTTTGTGCTTAATTAGGATCACTTGTGCTTGATTTATGTGGAATAAGCGATGAAGACTTTCGAATTCTTTTCTAATGTTAGTCCTTCCGTCAGATTAAGGTTAAGTGACCCTTAATTTGAGGGGTAAAAGGTCATTACTTTTTTCCTACCAGTTAATTAATGAATATAAAATAATTATTACGACCATTTTTCAAAAACTTTCAGAAATGCATTAATGGAGTACATAACTCATGTTACAAGGCTAGGAGAAATAGTATTTGAGTTAGTATCGGAAGCTTTGGGCCTGAAACCAAATTACTTGAATGAGCTGGAGTGTGCGAAAGGCCGCTCGTTGGTGTGCCACTACTATCCGCCGTGCCCGCAGCCGGAGCTAACTTTGGGCGCCACCAAGCACACTGACCCTGCTTTTCTAACCATTTTACTACAAGACCAAATCCAGGCTCTCCAGGTTTTGCACGACAACCTTTGGATCAATGTGCGACCCATTCCCGGAGCCCTCATCATAAACATCGGCGACCTTCTCCAGGTTTATTTAATCGTGTCATTTCCGAGTTCAATGACTTATTTGTGGGTTATTTAAGTTCGATAGCAGGCTTAATTGTTGTTTTCCAAATAGTTTAGTGATTTATTTATACTTTATCCCAAAATAATATTCTATACGTTACGTTCTTTCTCAGTACTACTAATGAAGTTTCTTCAAACTATTAGTAGAAGTGACAAAATTACAAGGATTTGAACTAATTTATACTAACATTTGCTGATAATAATAAGGAACTAAAATGACTGACCTCTAAGGGCATCCTCAATAGTGTGAATATTTTGAGGAGATTTTACAGTTGTGATTATGAAAGAGAAAATGAGGGGGCGAAAAAAAGAAAAAGAAAATTAAAATCTGAAAAAAAAAAACAAAAACAAAAACAAAAAAATAAAAGAATTACCCGCCCATGTTGGCCTGGGCGCGAGAGTTGCGCCTCACGTGAGGTGCAACTTTCTTCCCTAATGTGGGACTCATTATCTCTCCAAAATTTTCATTATAACTGAACAACCTCACATCTTCTCTCTCTCCTTTCTCTTTTTTCCAAATCATCTACTTTTTCTTAAAATTTGTGCATGAACACCTTAATGGGGATGTCCTAATAATTGAAGGGTTAAAATCACACTCTTTTTTTTTTTTCATATTTGATCTAAATTATTAAGATTATATGTGGACTAATGTTATGAAATTTGGTTTGGATTTTAGATTTTATCGAACGATGAGTTTGTGAGCCCTATGCATAGAGTAATTGCTAACAAGGAGGGACCAAGAACTTCAGTGGCATCCTTCTTCACTGGTGCTGTTGAGCCTCCGACAACCTACGGTCCCATCAAAGAGCTCACATCGGAAGGAAGAACTCCTGCGCTGTACAAGGAATTTACGGTGCCGGAATACATGAATAAGTTCTTTGGAAGGGCTCTTAATGAGTCCGGTCTTCAACTTTTCAGGCTGTGAGCAAAATCCCATCATGGGTTACGTTTGTACCACCATGAAATTCATACATTGTTAGTTACGTTGCCTAAACTCAAACTTTAGTATGTGTTAATATTCTTAGAAAATCACACATTTAACATCACAATCGTTTAAATTTAGCCTTTTAATTGTTAAATAAATTATTGATGGCGACATGGGACCATAGGATCCACTTTATTGGAAAAAATTTAGTCTAAGTGGATCTTCATTTTTATTTATGAGGTGATGGCCCAACAAGAATAATGACAATCGTTATACCGTGCACAACGGCGTACATAGCACTGTGCGCCTCGCGCCTCCCAAACCGACGTTGTTTTGTTAAGTAGCGTGGAGAGTTGACGCAACATAGTGTATGTGTATTTTGTTATATAATTATGTACATTATATTATAACATTATGTACATTATGTTATTCAATTATGTACATTTTTTTAATACAATTATGTATAGTTTTTTATACAATTATGTACATTTTTTATACAATTATGTACATCTGAAACATGGAATTTATGTGTATTATGTTAAAAGTTTATGTGTATTATGTATTATGTTAGATTATGTGTATTATCTTTTCAAAAAAGAGAGTGTGTATTTTGTTATACAAATATACATTTTCGAAACATGAGATTTTTTTTAAGAAGTTAACAGCCAATACACGGAAAGCAGAATTTCCAAAAAAAAAAAAAGTACAAAATGACGTCGTTTTGCACCAGGGCGCATATTGCGGTGCACGATATAAATTGCCAAATAATAGAAATCTATTGTGCTAAGTAAAAAATGAAGTTTGGTGCAAAATAGTATAAGAGATGCTATCATGGGGTACTAAACCCGCGAGTTTCACAAGGCAACATAAACACTAACCACCCAAGCTATTCAAATTTCATGTATTAAAATTAAAGGCAGGATAATTTACTTATCCATATGAAGATCGTTGGAATCCAGGTGGTGGGGCGACACGTGTACGACCAAGATTGAAGACTAGCCGATGTCGTACATTTGTCAACCATCCGGAAGGCCTTCAACACTATATAATGCACTCTTGTCTCCCCAAGATAAATCCCTTTGATTATAATAACCTCCCAAGCTTGGTTTTTTGGTCCTAGCCTCTAACCCATACACTTGGGTTCGATTCCTAGCAGTAGCATTATTATTATATTCCTAATCCATTCCTTATGTCTATAGTATGCATTATTTATTATTTGGACTGTCATTTTGGGCCAGTATCCCTTGTGCAACAAATACTTCTCCATAGGTTCCTGTTCGTGTTGTCAATGACCAGAGCAGACCACACTGCCAGCAAAAAGACATGATCATGCCACCAAGACAGAAATGGGCACACTTGTGACAACCCCTAGACATGGCTATGTCGACCCCCCCCCCCCCCCCCCCCCCTCCCCGGATCCACACCTCGAGCATCCTCATGTTGTTCGTTCGAAACCCCCATAGCTCCGACTCAATGAACAAATCTTCTGGTGCTTCACCACAAGACTCATGGCTTTACAGGTAATAAAACATTGATTGCATGTGTAGAAGATTCTGATCCCACCTGCTACTCTCAAGCCGTGAAGAGCTCTGAATGGTAAACAACAATGCCTAAGAGTTCAATTCCCTACTGTACAACAACACTTGGAAACTAGTTCCACTTGACGGGGATATGAATGTAATAGGATGCAAGTGGGTTTTTCGAGTCAAGGGAAAGGCTGATGGATCAATTGAACATTATTACAAGGCTTAACTTGTTTCCAAAGGGTTCAATCAAGTTGAAGGAAAAGATTACTTTGACACTTTTAGTCGAGTGGTCAAGCCATGTACAATAAGACTTCTCTTATCTCGTTCAATAACCAAAAATTATTTAATCCACCAACTTATGCTCATAATACCTCCCTAAATGGCTCCGTAAGTGAGAATATTTTTATGAAGCAATCACTAAGGTACATAGACAAAGATTTTCCTAATCATGTTTGGAAACTACAGAAATCACTTTATGGCTTGAAACAACCACCTTATGTGTGGTTCAAGCGTCTTCATGATTGTTTACTTTCAATCGACTTCAAGGCTTCAAAAACTACTGTGTCTTTGTTTATCTATTCAGCTGCTAACACTAATATTTATTTATTGATTTATGTTGATGATATATTATTAATAATGGGTAGTGACAAAGGCCTCTTAACTTCTATTACAAACATGCTAGTTGATGTCTTCAAAATAAGAGATATGAGACCACCGAGCTTCTTTTTGGGAATAGATCAGAGACAGTTAACAGCAAGGGGGCGATGATGCTGTCACAAAGAAGGTATATGATTGAAATACTCAACCATATGAAAACCAATCTCAACTCCAATTTTAGTTAACAGTAAGCTAAGTGCAACAACCACAAATAAACCATATGAAATCCTACACAGTACCACGGGCTTGTTGGAGCACTTGAATACCTAACCATCACTTGTCCTAATCTTTCCTTTATAGTCAACAAACTTTGTTAGTTCATGCACTCTCCAAACACTAAGCACTGGGTGACACTCAAACGAGCTCTAAGATATGTCAAAGCGATTATAGACTATACATTATGATGGGGTATGGACACAATGGGTTGATGTTCATCATTGATAGTAAACATTGGAGATATGTTACAGGCAAGTAAAAAGACACAACTAAATTAATTCATAGTACAAATTAAATCATATAATATCATATATTATTGTTTCTATTGTGGTTATATTGGTTTACATGTTTCTGCAGCTTCTCACAAATGATAAGTTGAAAAGTGTTCATCACAGAGTGCTGGCAAAACAGATAGGTCCCAGAATCTCGGTGGTAAGTTTTTTAAGAATGCATTTTCAGGGAGGCAATGATTCAAAATCTTATGGTCCAATTAAAGAGTTGTTATCAGAAGAAAAGCCGACAATCTACCGGGAGACCAACATGGATGAGGTTTTAATGGTTAGGTACAACAAAGGGCTTGATGGAAGTTCTTTGCTTTCGCATTTCAAGTTGTAAAACTAGTGGATAAATAAAAGCAGGGTCAGATACTAGTGTACGCAAGAGATTTGTCCAGGACATAATTCTCACACTGTCGATACTTAAGCCAACTTGGAAGGATGGTTAGCATTGTTAATTAGGCGGATGCTTGAAGAGCAAAGTCTAATATTCTCTTATGATCCTATCAAATATAATGAGTTTTGGTAACGTGGATCCTAATTAACAATGTAACGTAACCACCTATGATATCTTTATCATCAAACCCCAATTTGTCAAAGTTTTGGGTCCTTACGGCATCTTTAGAAAATTATTCATAAATTCACGTTGAATATTATATTGTCAAGTATATATCTTATCTCAAATATATCTTGATTATATTGTCTTATAGTCAAACTTTTAAAATAAAGTTGTGAGATAAGAGTCTAGAGAGTGGATTTGGATTAACTGAACAACAAGAATTGGAAAACTTCCAAGAATGGAACTGTCTGAATACACAGAGTCTCCCGATTATGATCGAGCAAAAGAGTTAGAGGCTTTCGACGATTCAAGAACTGGAGTCAAAGGCCTAATCGACGCCGGAATCCAAAAAATCCCAAAAATATTCGTCCGGCCGGCGGACGAGCTTGTCGAGGAGCTGAGCCTGCAGTGTCCGTCCGACGATCTCCGACCACCCGTCATAGATCTCGCCGGCATCGGAGTCAAGGACCAGCGCGAGAAGATCGTCGGTCAAGTGAGAGAGGCGTCGCGAGAGTGGGGCATTTTTCTGGTGACCAATCACGGGATCCCGTCCGGCATCCTGGACGGAATGATCGACGGGATTCGCAGGTTTCACGAACAGGACGGTGAGATTAAGAAAACGTTTTACTCCCGCGACCGGACCAGACGGGTGAAATACTCGAGCAACATTGACCTGTTTCAGTCACGCGCTGCGAATTGGAGAGACACGTTGACCATTTCCATGGCGGCTTCACAAAATCTTGAACCGGAAGACTTACCAGCAATTTGCAGGTTATGATTCATTTTTGTATAACAATTTTATTTACATAGACCAAATATGAATTAATTTCACTTTTTTCTCACAACTTTTGAGATCTTATCACTTTTAATGCACAACTTTAAATTTTTTTCAATTTTGATCATTCCGGACAAATTGACGGTGAAATGTTGTCAATTTTATATTTTTAAGGACAAAATCATCGTCCCAAACTCCCAAAAGAAAGATCTTCAATATCTAAACAAAATAAAAATCATATTCAGAGAAAAAGAAGAGTTTACTAATCGTCGACGCTATAAATCTCTTAGATCTGTGTCTACTTTCTGTCCGTCTTCCCCATTATTCTCATCTACCAAACATCTATAGATTTGATTGTCCGTTTTTCTCATTATTCTCATCGACTAAACACCTACAGATTTGATTTTATTTAAATATTGAAGATCTTTTCTTAAGATGACGATTTTACCCCTAAAAGTATAAAATCCTTTAACATTTCGCCGTTGATTTGGGTGAAATGGCCAAAACTAATAAAAATAACAAAATTAGCACTAAAATTGATAAATTTTAACATTATGCACCGAAAATGATAGAACTTAAAAAGTCGTAGGATCAGAAGTGAAATTAATTCACCAACTATTGTTTATTATGTAATTTTACATAGTACTCCACCTAAAGTTTTAGACTTGGTTAACAATAACGTAACCTAAATAACATGGTGCGGTTGAATAAATTATTATTTTAAGTTGGATAGAAATTTTATTATTTGAATAAAACTTAGGTTAGGAACCACCACTCACTAATGCTATGACAAATTACATTCACAATTTAATATATTATGTGCCTTCAGTAATAAATTCTGACATTTATATTATATGTCTAATTCAAAATAACATTTCAAATTACTCCATATTTGTGTTTTATCTTAAGACCCAAGCCACCCAAGTGACATATACATGCTTGGAGTTCTTGATTATTTATTTCCGCTGTGATTTTCTACACCCACATTATTATTTTTCCTAACAGCTAATCAATGAATATAAAATAATTATTACGACCATTTTTCAAAAACTTTCAGAAATGCATCAATGGAGTACATAACTCATGTTACAAGGCTAGGAGAAATAGTATTTGAGTTAATATCAGAAGCTTTGGGCCTGAAACCGAATTACTTGAACGAGCTAGAGTGTGCGAAAGGCCGCACATTGGTGTGCCACTACTATCCGCCGTGCCCGCAGCCGGAGCTAACTTTAGGCGCCACCAAGCACACCGACCCTGCTTTTCTAACCATTTTACTACAAGACCAAATCCAGGCTCTCCAGGTCTTGCACGACAACCTTTGGATCAACGTGGAACCCGTCCCAGGAGCCCTCATCATAAACATCGGAGACCTTCTCCAGGTTTGCTTAATCGTGACATTAACGATGTTTTTAGGGAAAAGTATGATTTTAACTATTATCAAAGTTGCAATTTTGACGGATTTGTTAAGGACGCCTTGTTTGGTAAATGGCTATTAGCTGTTAGCTAATTGGGTTAATTAGAGGGTATAACTAGTTGATAACATTAGCTGGTTGTAGAAAAGTGTTTGATAAATTAACTGTTAGTTGATAAGTGAATTGAAAAAGCTATTTTTGAGCAGTTTTTTGAATTTTAGCATTTTGGAGTTACAAAAGGTTAATTAACCAAACACTTATATTGCTTTTTTTAACAAAATCTAACAATTAATAATGGTCAAATAAGTCAAAATTGATTGATAGGTCAACTATTTTACCAAATAGGGCTAATAGTTAGAAATTAAAAAGATAACACCTTAATAATTGAAGAGTTAAAACATTGTAGACCTTCTCTAGGTCTCAGTCCTATATATTGAGATTTCTTCAAACTATATATTAGTAAAAGTGGCAAAATCACAACTTATAGTCACATTTGTTCATAATAATCAGGAACTAAAACGACTAAACTCTAATAATTGAAGGGTTAAAATCACACTTTTTCTCACGTTTGGTCTAAATTATTAAGATTATATGTACTAATGTTATGAAATTTGATTTGGATTTTAGATTTTATCGAACGATGAGTTTGTGAGCCCTATGCATAGAGTGATTGCTAACAAGGAGGCACCAAGAACTTCAGTGGCATCCTTCTTCCGTGGTGCTGTTGAGCCTCCGACAACCTACGGTCCCATCAAAGAGCTCACATCGGAAGGAAGAACTCCGGCGCTGTACAAGGAATTTACGGTGCCGGAATACTTGAATAAGTTCTTTGGAAGGGCTATTAATGAGTCTGGTCTTCAACTTTTCAGGCTGTGACCAAAATCCCATCATGGGTTATGTTTGTACCACCATGAAATTGATACATCATTACGTTGCCTAAACTCAAACTTTAGTATGTGTTAATATTCTTAGAAAATCACACATTTAACATCTCAATCATCTATGCGTTATAAATTTAATTTCTCTTTTTATAAATTTAGCATTTTAATTGTTAAATAAATTATTGATGGGACCTCACTGCGGGAATTATGAAATTTCTGACCACGTGAAAATGATCTTATATCCAGTCAAAAGCAAAAAGTGGTTGGAAATAGCAACAAGGGTTTTTCCGGATACCAAAAGAGCTTTCGACTTGATTTAAGATCATTTTCAGGTGGTCGAAAATTCCATAATTTCCAGCAGTGCCTAGGGTCCATTTTATTGGGAATGTCTTAGTCTAAATGGGGTGTCTATTTTTATTTATGAGGTGTTGGTCGAACAAAAATAATGAAAATCTATTGGGCTAAGTTAAAAAGGGAAGTTTGGTGCAAAATACTACGTAATATAGGAAATGCTACCATGAGGTATTGAACCCACAAGTTTCACAAAGCAACATAAACACTAAGAACCACCCAAGTTACTCAAATTTCATGTATTAAAAAGCACGATACTTTACTTATCCATGTGAAGATCGCTGGGAACTTGGAAACGAGGTGGTGGGTGACACGTGTGTGACCAAGATTGAAGACTAGACAATACCGTACATTTGTCAATCATCTGGAAGGCCTTCAACACTATATAAGGCACCATTGTCTCTCCTTAAAGATCATCCATTAGATTATAACAACCTCCCAAGCTTGATGGTTTCTGGTCCTAGCCTCTAACTCATACATTAAGGTTTGATTCCTAGTCCATTCCTTATGGTTATAGTATGTATTATCACTGCTGAAAATTATGAAATTTCCGACCACCTCAAAGTGATCTTAAATCAAGTCGAAAGCCGTATTCCGACCATTTTTGTATCCGGAAAAATCTTTGTTGCTATTTCCGACCACTTTTTGCTTTCAACTTGATTTAAGATCATTTTCAGGTGGTCAAAAATTTCATAATTTCCACCAGTGTATTTATTTATTATTTGGGCTGTCATTTTGGACCAATATCCCTTGTGCAACAAATACTTCTCCATGGGTTCTTGTTTGTGTTTGAGATACATTACCGTGGGTTGTTGTCAATGCCCCGAGCAAATCGCACTACCAACAAAAGGACACTACCATGTCACCAAGACATAAAGGGGCACAATCGTGACAACTCCTAAACTTGGCCATGTCGACCCCCCCCCCCCCCCCCCCTCTCCCTCCCCCCTGTGGGATCCACACCTCGAGCATCCTCATGTTGTTCTTTCGAAACCCCCCATAGCGCAAACCACTAGCTCCGACTCAATGAACAAATCCTATGGTGCTTCGCCACATGACTCATGGCTTTACAGGTAATAAAACATTGATTGCATGTGTAGAAAATTCTGATCCCACCTGCTCCTCAAGCTGTGAAGAGCTCTGAATGGTAAACAACAATGGACCAAGAGTCAACGCCCTACTGTACAAGAACACTTGGAAACTAGTTCCACTTGACGGGATATGAATGTGATAAGATGCAAGTGGGTTTTTTCAAGTCAAGGGAAAGGCTGATGGATCAATTGAACATTACAAGGCTTAACTTGTTTCCAAAGGGTTCAATCAAGTTGAAGGAAAAGATTACTCTGACACTTTTAATCAAGTGGTCAAGCCAACTACAATAAGATTTCTCTTATCTCTTTCAATAACCAAAAATTGGTTAATCCACCAACTTGGTGCTCATAATACCTTCCTGAATGACTCCCTAAGTGAGAATACTTTTATGAAGCAATCACTAAGGTACATAGACAAAGATTTTCCTAATCATGTTTGAAAACTACAGAAATCACTTTATGGCTTGAAACAACTACCTCGTGTGTGTTTCAAATGTCTTTATGATCGTTTACTTTCAATTAGCTTCAAGGCTTCAAAAACTAATGTGTCGTCTTTCTTTATCTATTCAGCGGCTAACACTAATATTTATTTATTGATTTATGTTGATGATATATTATTAATAATGGGTAGTGACAAAGGCCTCTTAACTTCTATTACAAACATGCTAGCTAATGTCTTCAAAATAAGAGATATGGGACCACCGAGCTTCTTTCTGGGAATAGAGACTGTTAACGGCAAGGGGGGGATGATCCTGTCACAAAGAAGGTATATGATTGAAATACTCAACCATATGAAAACCAATCTCAACTCCAATTTTAGTTAATAGTAAGCTAAGTGCAACAACCACAAGTCAACCATATGAAAATCTTACACAGTACCATAGGCTTGTTGAAACACTTGAATACCTAACCATCACTTGTCGTAATCTTTCCTTTATAGTCAACAAACTTTGTTAGTTCATGCACTCTCCAAACACTGAGCACTGGGTGGCACTCAAACGAGTTATAAGATGCGACTATAGACTATGCACTACATTTTACAAAATTTGACTATGAAGATACCCATGTTTTCTCGTACTCTGATTGGGCGGGGTGCTCTGATGACCGAAAATCCGCTAGTAGTTTTGTTGTCTTCATTGGCAAAAAGAATTAATCTCTTGGGCTTGTTGCAAGCAAAAGACAATTGGTAAATCCTCAACAGAAACATAATACAAAGTCATGATAGATGTCTAAGCAAAAGTAACATGGTTAGTTACTCTCATTCGTGAACTTGGACTCACAGTAGCAAAAGCACCTCAACTCTAGTGTGACAATCTTGGTGCTACATATCTATGTGCAAATCCTGTTTTTCATGCCTAAACTAAGCATGTAGAAATAGACTACCACTTTGTTCGTGACAAAGTAACATCAAAGGAGCTACAAGCTAAGTGAACTACACCTCTACGACAAACCAGCTTAGCTTGCAGACATCTCCATCAAACCACTCACACTGCTAGATTCAATCTTCTAATAAAAGGACAATCTCAATGTTCTCTCTAGAGAACCTTAAGCTTGAGGAGTTGAGGGAGCATATTAGGGCTCTGTGTTTATTAGCTTTAAGATTCTCACTCCATCTCTGCATATTATTGTAACTCTACCAATCTTGCTCTAGTTAATTAGGACTATCGATCCCTTATATCTCTTATATCTCTATAAATACATCCCTCCATGTACTTTATAAAAACGATTGATCAATAATAAAAACTACCTGTACAAATTCTTGTTCCATCCTTTTCTCTAGTTTTTCATAAAATGGGGTTATTTTTCCTATTTGTAAACACAATTTAAGATTTTTGAAGAATATATAATACTCCGTAATAAATTTCAATAGATCAGATTTGTTAATTAATAAAAGAATTGAAAGCACCACTTGACAACTCACGAACCAAAAGTGGTAATAACTATAACCCAAGAACAATATAATATCCACTATTGCCCAATAATTCATGGACTAAATTAGCAATTCTCATCATAAAATTAAAATTATCTGAATATAATTATCACATATATCGCTAATAATCCTTCCGCCGGAAACTGCATTTACTGCTATTTAAGAAATAATTTAATTGCATGATCACATCTGATCTATATCTTATCTTCGTAATATCATAAATGCAATATCCTCTTTCTATCCTAACTGCAACGAACCGCTTAGCTTGCAGACATCGGCTAGATTCAATCTTCTAATAAATAGATAATCTCAATGTTTTCTCTAAAAGGACATTTGATTCACTATATGAGAAGAATTATTAGTTTCTTGTGACAAATTTTATTCTGTAACTAGTTAAGCTATTCATATGAGTTTCTATTTGGCCTATTTCTAATTCAGTAGGATACTGTAATTTAAATTTACTTTTCTGAAAGGGAATTCAATGTTTTAATTAATTATTGAAAAAATTACATTTTTGATCCTTTAATTATACTCCTAGTACAAACTTAATTAGTTCATGATTTAAGTCCCTTGGCGATTACTTTTACCACCAATTTGTCACATAATAAAGTGGATGATTTGGTCCTTTAAGGACTAAAATCGTTACTCCATTCATAATTTAGAGGTTAAAGATATAAGAGTAAATACTCAAAATGGTCCTTTGACTATAGTTAAATTCACAAATTGGTCCTCGACTTTCAATTTCAACCAATCAAGTCCTTAACTTTGTAATTTTAACACAATTTGGTCATCTGTCTATTTGACCGTTTGTTGACCGTGATTTTTGAGAATATATATGTAATTTCATGGTCCATCATCGGTTTTTTAAGGTTCCGGTTGCATTTCCAGATCGCACTGTTACATTCGAATCTACTGCCGAAAGCAATCTACCAAATCTGTTCGCCTTTCTTCATCCTCCCTTTGTATTCAATGTAGTTGAGTTCGTACCAGAGCGAAGAAGATGACGTGTTTCCGAACCGGTGCAACGTCATCCTGGAGGCCTCCACGTGCTCCGACGAGAGCTGGAGGTTCTTCTAGAGATCGTCGATCATGGTCAACAAACGGTCAAATAGATGGAGGACCAATCGTGTCAAAATTGCAAAGTTAAGGACGTAATTGGTTGAAATTGAAAGTTGATGACCAATTTGTGAGTTTAGCTATAGTCGAGAGACCATTTTGGGACCAAGTTTGTACTATGAGTATAACTGAAGACCAAAAATACAAATTTTCCTTAATTATTTGGATGGATTGACAGAGAGACAAGATATGAATTGAAGATTGTGATACATTGAAGTGGCGCATGTAATATCTTATCCATGTACTGAGAGACAGAAAGAAGATTCATGTTCAATGCACAGTGCGTGCGTGTCTTCATGTTTTTTCCATTTTGGGACGGATCGGACTAATATTATTTCAGTTTCAATTCAGAAAACGCAAACGTCAGATCAGTGTACAGAACATAAATGATAATAATCACTAAAAAGTCAAAAGATCGAAGAACAAGAATTATATTATGACGTCAAAGCTAATTTAAGGTTCCGAATGAACCTGCAGTTTGAACTGAATTTTTTGATCCTCGTCCATACCCAAAAGAGAAAAACGACTTCTTGTTAATTCTGCTACTGCTACTCTCGCCGGAACTTATGATCTCATCTTCCCGGCGTTTCTGCTGCTGAACTGCCTTCTGAACCGCCAAATAAATCTGCCGGTCCGCCGCCGAGTCCATCGAGAAAGATCTCCTGATCGGTTGAACCGCAAACTGCTCATCCTTTTGCCTAATGTCAATGCACTCATCCCCAACGCTGGTAACTCGCCTGAATTTTCTCCGATTTTTTCTCTCAAATTTCGGTGTGGGAGACAGATCCTCATCAAGTTCAATAACAACGCCGTCGTCGTCTCCATTACTCCCGGCTGCCGTGAAATCGCCAGTAGAACCGCCGGGGTTCGAAAAAATCGCCGACGAGGAAATGCAGTTTCTGCAGATTGGGCAATTGGCGTTATTACGAAGCCAAACATCAATGCATTCGATATGGAAGCCATGGCCGCAGTGCGGTATAACTCTCAGCTTCTCCCCTCCCTGAAACTCGTTCAAGCACACAGCGCACGACGATGAATTCCCCTCTCCTGCAACTCTCTTGAACTCATACGTCGGGATCGATTCGATCACCGATCGCTCCAGTCCTCCTCCGTTCACCACGTCCGGCGAGCTCAGCACAAAACCCTCATCCACGCCGCCGCCGCTCCTTCTGGAGAACGAAAACCGCCGTAAACGGCTGATTCTCCGGCAGTTGCTGTAGCACTTGATCACGTAGAGGCTGATTAGAAGCAAAGAAGACGCCAGAACTACCACGGTGGCCGTGATCAGGAAGGTGGCGCGGCCAGATTGCGGCGGCGAGGTAGAGAATGAAGGAGGAGTTGGGATTGGAGAAAAAAGTTTCCGGCCATGGCTACTGAGATCCATAAGAGGAGATTATCAACTTTGGCTATAATACAGTGATATATATAAAAGGAGCATAAGATTGTCAATTAAAAAATGTTATTGCCATTATATATATTCAAAAATTTTATACTCCTTATTGACACTGTTTGCTAAGTTAGTAATAATACTAGATAGAAATATAGAATCGTGTATATCTTAAAATGAAAATATTTCCTATATCCTTAGATTTACTATTCATTTACTTTGGACAAGAAAATTATTATGTATAATTTAGTCACTCTTTTAAATATTCTTTTCTAAATTTGTGTTTGGTTAAAAAAAATACGGAGTAATACTTTTCTGGATGGGAGAATTTGACTTTATTTAGAGGAATTTAATTGGTTGATAAAAGACACTAATGTGAGTCGATCTATATTTGATATTTACGTCATTAAGGCTTTCTTAATTGGGCTACGATCAAGCATTTACTTCACACAAAAAGTTAAATCCCCAACTCCAACAATAGTTATGTTATGGAATTGTGTTCACCATGTGTATGGTGAACACATGATAAATTCATAATTTCTAAGCTGTAGATTCATAATTTATATACTGTAGATTCAAAATATCTATACTGTAGGTTCATAATTTCTATACCGTACTGTAAATTCATAATTTCTATACTGTAGATTCATAATATATGTACTGCGAAGACGAAATAATGCGATTGCGAAGAGAGAAACGTCGTTAACAACAAATGAAAACACAAAATTATGAATCTACAACATAGAAATTATGAATCTACCCCTGTATTCACCATGCGCATGGTGAACATGTTTCCACAGCATAATTTGCATGCGCAACTCCAAGGGTCTCATACCCTGACAGAGCATTTGGGAGAATATAAATCACGATGACTCAATACTTAACAAACAGGACCAAATGTCAATACGCACAAGAGATCTGTTCACTTTGAACAAAATCACAATAACCACCTTTAAACCTTATTATATAAGGCAGTGTTAAATGCTTAAATGATAAAAATTTTGGTGAAAATTTTGTGGGTAATGTAGCATGGGTTATGCCAATTGACAATTTATATAATGTTACTATTTTAGTAAACTTGTGATGAATCATCCAATTTATAAGTATATGATCAATATAATATTTGTGATTTTTTTAAAGCTTTGTCAAATGGTATAACATTTATTAAAAAATTATTTGGTAGATATCATTTTTCTTGCTATAGAAATATATTACTAATATATAAGAATATATAGCTCAATTTGATTTAGTGAACATTTGTCATATCCTATGCATATATGCGTAGCTTGTGCAAAATATATGACAAGATTTTTTGTTTTGTTTATTTTACGTCAAAAATACAAAAATGGAAAAGAAATAACAATGATCTAAAAAGATCAACAAGGTACATAATTATCAAAATTTACCAAACCCCAACCACCAACTTATTATCCATAGTTGCTATGATGGACACATTTATTGTCTTTCGTAAGTGTGTTAAAATCCTTCAAATTCGAATCCAATTTTATACGATTTACCAACTACTTATAATACATTAAAAGAGACTATGAACCGAGACGTCTTCTTATTCCTTATTGAATCACCTTCACCTCAACGTTTGAGTTTATCTCCACATACATTCCTAAACCATGCTTCTTGGTAACCATTAGTAGATCCCACCCCCATAACTCTACACAAATGAGGCTGTTTTTTTAAGTAAAGAAATGGCGCGCCGTTATAGTTAACGGAGTGCGCATGTTTGGTGTATTAATCACCAATTGAAACTACAGTGTATCTAAACTAACACTGCCTCATGTATTATTTTTATATTATCAAATGAAACTGCAATTGAATTGAAATGAAACTGTAGTTGTGTTGAAATGAAACTGCATTGTATATATAAAATGAAACTGAATAACATTTCACATATTTGAGTGTATATTGTGCAATGAAACTGTAGTTATATCGAAATGATAATGTAGTTGTGTTTTAATGAAATTATAGTGTATATAAAATAAAATTAAATAACATATTTGAGTGTATAAATATCGAATGAAGTTGTAGTTGTGTTGAAATGAAACTGCAGTGTATACAAAATGAAATTGAATAACAGAGTTACATTTTACGAAACAGAGCGAAATGGGTACTGTTTCTTTTCATTAAACAAAACGACGTTGTTTAGAAAAGCTCGGTGTATAATTCATTATGCACCACGGTGCATGATATAATTTGTCTTTATTGTGAGGATGGACCATAATCATAGGAGGACAAGTCTAATTGGATCTGCGGTCCTGCCCCATACACAAATAATCCAAAGACAATGATCACCTATGAACTATAAAATTAAAAATAAATAAATAAATAACTTTTATGTGCCTACTTTCAAAATTCAAATAATGATTGCACATTTATCTCGTCATTTAAAAAAACAACAATTATATACTTTAAATGAGTCTAAAATCTTAATATCTACATACAAAACTTAACAAAAAGTTAACAATATGCATAAGTATGAAATTGAACTCCTAAAACAATGTTTTTAAGAAAACTTTCGAGTTCAAATGAGACCCGACCCAAACTCTATTGAATTAGTCTCATTAAGTAGGATCAAATACTAAGATCCACTATATAAAAATTATATATTGGCCCTGTTTGGTAAAAAATTTGCCTATAGATCAATTTTGACTTATTTGATTACTATTAATTGTTTGATTTAGTTAAAATATCAATATAAATGTTTGGTTAATTAGCTTTTTGCAACTCCAAAAGGCTAAAATTAAAAAAGCTACTCCTATCAACTTTTTCAATTAGCTTTTTGAGAAAAGAAATTATACCAAACAGCTATCAGCAAACAGCTAATTTACCAAACACTTTTCTAATGTTATCAACTATTTATACTCTCTAATTAATACAATCAGCTAACAGCAAACAGCTATCAACTAACAGCCATTTTACCAAACAGGACCATTATATATATTAATTACACTATGCATCAAGGCTCCAAGTGAACTGGTATAACAGAGCTTCTTGATCCCCTTCTATGTCCAAAGGAGAAACATAACTTTTTAGGTCTGCTACTGCTACCTTCACTACTACTAACCTCGGCCCGGTTGAGCCTTTGCCGCTGAACGGTGTTTTGGCTCGCTAGCTGCCGGCGGTCCACGGCGGAGCTCATTGACAGAGATCTCCTAATGGGCTCAACTGCAAACCGCTCGTCCTTTTCTCTGCAGATATCAATGCACTCATCCCCCAAGCTTTGGCTGTGTAATTTCAACGCTTTTTCTGGAAATTTCGGGATGGGAGATGGGCTAATGGATAGAGTCGGTGATAGCTCGCCTGGAATAATATTACAGGTACCAAATATACCATTATCCTGCCCAATTTCAATGACAACATAGTCTTCATCCCTGTCTGAGAAAAATGGATCTTTGGGTGCAGAAATTGGGTTTCTGCAAAGTGGGCAATTTGGGTTGTTTTGAAGCCAAACGTCAATGCAATCAATGTGGAAAGGGTGGCCACAGTTTGGTATAACTCTCACCTTTTCACCTTCTTGAAATTCATTTAAACAAACGCAGCATTCCCTGCTGTCTGACCCTTTCTTGTACTGCAAAACCGGGATCGATCGGATCGTGGATTCGTCGAGCCCTCGCCGGATTTCCCCCGCCGGGGAGTACACCGAGAAAGGGTCGTCGACGACACGGCGCCTTCTGGAAACGGAAAATCGCCTGAGAAGATCAATTCTGTGCCAGTTGAGACAGCACTTGATCACAAAGATGTAGTAGCTGAGTAGCAGGAAGCCGGTGGCTATAATTCCGATAATGGCGACGGCCGTGATGGGGAAACTGGCGGCGTGAGAATGCCTTGGAACGCCGAAGAATGGAGTGGGAGGAGGAGGAGGAGCCGCCGCCGCCGCCGGTGAAACGAGTTGTGGTTCTTGGCTAAGATCACCCATGAGATGAACTGAGCCGAGCCTCTATGTATTATTGGGGAGTTATTACAATTGTGCGCAACATTCATTATAATTTTAAGCAATGTTCATGGATCATTGTTGCGTGGAGTTCATAAATACGTGTATATGTGGGTTTTTAAGTGCGGCTTGAGTGTAAAAGGAAACAAAGTTTTTATTACATATTTGAGAAATGTCATTGTACATCACAATGGGTACGTGTGATTTAGTATTTTATCACCTTCGAAATCCTATTCAATACTAATATGATTAATTTTAGTGTGTGTGATCCTAATATTCGTTTCAGTTGAATATCTAATAGTATGGACTACAACCCTACAACATACTAGGTATATCGTTTTCTGTTGTATATGATATTGTTGATTCTAGTGTTAATCAACATTGTAACCTAAAGTTATACGTGAATAATGATACTAAATCACAGTCCTCAAAGTAACTACAAGGAGGGGCAATCCAACCAAGCTGGTCAGAAAATTAGTTTGGTAACTTGAACAATGATTTATCTCCTTAAGCTCCTTATTAACCGATTAGAATTGATTTACAAGTTTTATTCAGTGTATTTTTGAATCAAAGAACATTGAAGTCATGATATGGTTAAAAACTTGTGCATACGTGCAAGGATGTGAGATGTGTGTTGAATGATTTGTCTAAGAGTTGGTGACCTAAAAGAATTAAAAGCACCTAACTAAACAAGTGGTTAAATGAGATTGAATTGAATTAGGTAGGACTGCAGTGAACTAATTAATTATGTGGAATGACACAAGCTTCTCTTCCACTCAAGGAAAACAAGAAAATGGTTGTTTGGCTTCATCCTAAAATTTTGCATGGATCTCTATTTTCCTCTCAGCCTAACTTACTACGTACATTATATCCAGTAATAATTTGGCATTGACCTTAGAACAGTGATACCATGAAGCCAAGGACGACTAAGGAATTTAGGTATGTTACAAGATCTTAGGTGGTTACTCAATACTTTGCAACAGCAACGATTCCAATGTAAATTTATTAATTATATTGTGAATCATTAAGTTTGGATATATAGTGCTCCAAATAAAGGTAATGGGCTTTCAAGTTTGGACAAACTCGTCTAATGTATACGATAAGAATGTTTATGTTTAGAGAAATTTAATTGGATTAAACGTTATTATTCCATCCAATTTTGTTTATTAAAACTTGAAAAACTAGCATATTTTTGAGTTTTGAACCTGCCATAGGATATATTAGTGTGTGAGGGGCCAAATGAAATCATTAAGAAATTGAAATCCACACGAAATAGGCAAAGCAGTTTGGGGAGAAATTCAGTTGGTAGCCAAACTCAGATATATATCGCGCGGCGCATCAAACGTCAGATACGAAACCTACATATCCCATCAATTCAGAATGTCAATATCATAAATCCAACCTAACATTTTCAATATAGATAGCATTGACAATTAATTTCACAATGTAGAATGACATTGCATCTTCTAATGAATTTAGATTTTTCGTTCATTTTATAAAATTTATCATGCTTGCATATATTTTTTTTTTTTTTTGAAACAAATGAACAAACTTCATTAATGAACCAATAAATGAGAAATACAACCGGGTGAGGTATCAACCCACAAGTTAGAGTCAATCCCAAAATCAATCGCCCGTACTAACACATGAGCCGCTTGATTAGCTGATCTCTTGACATGATAAACACTCACGTTCCCAATGTCATTAGCAATCAAAACACATTGCTTAACAATCAAATTAACATAAGAGAAATCTAAGCTAGTGGAATTAAAAGCTTTGCAAAAATTTAAACAGTCTGTTTCAATGGCCATATAACCGCGACCAAAGTTGTGCAACCAAGTGAGTGACTCCTTTACTGCCGTCCGCTTCATGCTTGCATATTTAGTTGTTAAAAATTGCATAATTAAGTGTTCAAGTTTTCATAGTGAAGTTGATGATAATTACAAAAATGTCACCGTATTTTTTTTTTAATTTGATAAGATCCGTCGAATTTTTACAAAAGTAAAATTAAGATTGATTCTTATTTATCTCCTATAGTATTATTCTCAAATGATCCTTAGCATACATTTTATATACTAGTATTTCTTATGCGCAATGCGTAAAAAAATAGGTGCCCAATATTAATATTTTATATTAAAATTTTAAATTTATTTAGATTTTAGATATTTAAATTATTGTAAATAATAATAATAATGTAAAACATTTCTATAAATTTAATATTTATATTTTAAGAAATAACCAACATATAACCCTTTTTCAAAAAAAAAAAAAAACACTAACATATAACCCAAGTCCCCAATATATAATGTGTATATTATTATTATTATTATTATTATTATTATTATTATTATTGAAAATAAGAAAATATATGGTGGATGCATGTGCATGTTAGTAATAGTAGAAAAGATAACGAAAGTTATAACGGTAGGGGTATGTTTGTCTAAAATATTGTATAGTACAACATTTATAACATAATGTATCATAAAACTTAACGGAAAAAACAGACATAATATATATATATATATATATATATATATATATATATATATATATATATATATATATATATATATATATATATATATATATATAAACACACACACAATTTGACTAAACTCGAGGGTTCACTTCTAAAACATAACTTATAATCCGCATAATAAAAAAACTATATTATGGTAATAGGACATAATATGCAAATAAACGCATATTAAGCAAATAAATTGCACAATAAATCAATAATAACAATTTAGGGTCCGTTTGGAAATCCGGAAAAATGACTTTTGGAAAATGTTTTCTGAATTTCTAATGTTTGGATGCAATAGGAAAATCCAGTCAACTGAAAATATTTTTCATTGACGGTGGAAAATGAGGCATTTTCGCGAACAATGACTTCTGCCAAAATTTGGTGAAAGTCATTTTCCGCCAACACTCAAAACATGGTTCCCGCCGGAAACCACGGTTATTCTGGTTTCTAGTGGAATTTAAAAAAAAAAATTGATAAATAATATTATTATAAATATTTTTATATTCTAAATAAAATGTTTAAAATGTTTAATTATACAATTCTACTCATTTTCAGAAAATGAACCAAACACAGCAAGATAGTTTTCCAGAATGCAACTAAACACTGTAAAGAAAAATGTTTTCTAGAAAATGACTCATTTTTATAAAAAACATTTTCCCGAAGTCATTTTCATCCTTTCTAAACAAATCATTTAATATATAAGCATATCCAATAATAAAATTCAAATAATAATTTAAATAACAACATAATCTCAAATACAATTTACATACTGAATGTTTACAATTTGAATTGTGAACATTTAGTATGCAAATTTATAAACATTTAGTATGTAAATTGTGTTTTTTGAACGTGCGTCTACCTAGCAAGGTGAGTACGGGTCCACATAATAAATTACCTAATACACGGAAGGAAGAAAATGTTGAATCTTTTAATTCCTTTGTGTTTTACTTAAAATTGGGCCATATCACAAATGGACTTAAAATAATACTTAAATCAGACCAAAGAATTGCGCTACAAATTTGTTGGGCTCATTATTAAATAGTCATTATTATATAATACTTATTTAATTAATTGATTATTAAACTCTAAAAAAATAATTATTATATAATAAAAAATAATTAATGCTAAATATGTACATAAAATAAAAGTATAAATTATACCTATCACTAACCAAAAAGCAGTCCCAAAAATAATAATAACATGAAAAGGACCCAAAACATTTATAAAGACCAAGGCACACGATTTCTATATATATATATATATATATATATATATATATATATATATCAGACTGGGCCAAAAGGCCTAACTAATAAAACTCAATGGCCCAAAATGACGTCGTTTTTCAAAAAAAAAAAACGCGTCATTTAGTTATAAAAAAAAAAAAATTCGCGCGTGTTTTGCCGTTAACGGCGTTATTTTTTTTTTTTTGGATTATGAATGTACAGTTATGCCGTTATGAATGTACAGTTATGTCGTTATGAATGTACAGTTATGCAATTATGAACATAGAGCTCTAACATTATGCTCTAACATTATGAACTTACAATTATGAACATATAGTGATAAAATTATGACCATGGAGCTTTAAAATTGTGAATATAGAGCTTCGAAGATTATGAATGTACAGTTATGGAGTTATGAATGTACAGTTATGGAGTTATGAATCTACGGTTATGAGATTATGAATCTACAGTTATGAGATTATGAATCTACAGTTATGGAATTATGAATGTACAGTTATTGATCGAATTATGAACAAAGAGCTCTGACATTATGAACTTACAATTTTGAACATATAGTGATAAAATTATGAACATAGAGCTCTAAAATTGTGAACATAGAGCTTCGAAAATTATAAATGTACAATTATGGAGTTATGAATGTACAGTTATGGAGTTATGAATGTACAGTTATAGAGTTATGAACGTACAGTTATGGAGTTATGAATGTACAGTTATAGAGTTATGAACGTACAGTTATGGAGTTATGAATGTATAGTTATTAACATATAGTAATAAAATTATGAACATATACTCCTATAACGAAGCTGTCTGAAATTATTTAAAAAAAAAAAAAAAAAAAAAAAAAAAAAAAAAAAAAAAGGAGATAACAGTGCCTAACAGCACTGTTACCCGTGTCCAGCATGCATGCTGGACATGGGTCCATAGCATAACGATTGGCCAAAATGGGCAAATTATGTTGTTAACACGTGTCCACTTTGTAAGGTGGATCCGAATTATATTCAACATTTTTTAATTTTATACTCACAATTTTAGAATTGAATATTCATAATTTTAGATCTCAATACACAAAATTACAAAACTCAATATTCACAATTGCATAATTTTATATTCACAATTTTTGAACTCTATATTCACAATTACAGAACTGAATATTTACTCGATGAGTTGTTTTCAATAATTTTTTTTAAAAAAATCATTGGTTGTGAATATTCAGTTCTAAAATTGTGAATAAAGAGTTCAAAAATTGTGAATATAATCTGGGTTTACCTTGCAAGGTGGACCCCGATCTATGGTGATGAGGAATATACCCCGGGTTCAGGCTCTTCGTAAGCTCCGTGCTCCTGTTTGGGTCGGGGTCAAACG